TTCTCATTTACTACCATAAAATATATAAAAATCTACTATAAAAAGTTACACTTTATCAAAACTTATGCACATAAACACTTACAGACCCTACATGGCACTATTTGCAGTTGAGAGAAATAAAAACAAATGTAAAGATGCAGTAATAAATCATAACTACATAAAATTCACTGTAGTACATAGTGTAGTACTGCAATAATTTCAAAGCCACCTCCTGTTGGTACTGCAGGAAGCTCAAGTGTTGTAAATATCTGCTTAAAATGTCGTGTGATGCTAATCATCTCCATGTGTGCAGTTCGTCTCTCTAGTAAACTGCGTATCACAGTAAAAAGTCATCTCTCATGGTTTTTGCGTATTTTTCATCATGTTTGGTGTGATACCATAAATCCTGAATAACACCATGGGACCCAAAGGAAGTGGCACTAGTGATGCTGGAAGTGCTCCCAAGAAGCAGAGAAAGGTCATGACATCACAAGAAAAAGTTGAATTGCTTGATATATACCATAGATTGAGGTCTGCAGATACAGTTAACTGCCATTTCAAGATATGAATGAAATATATAAATGAATCCAACGTAAGAGCCATTGTAAAAAAAGAAGAGGAAATTTGTGAGGGTAACAGGTGTGAAAACCTTGCAGTTTTTACAAAATGTCTTTTTATCTCATATTGAAAATGCTGCTTTTATGTGGGTACAGGATTGCTATAAGAAAGGCACACCTATAGCCTCTAATATGATTCAAGAAAGAGCAAAATTATTATATGACAACTTAAAGCAAAGGGAAAGTGAAGGATCTGAAGCTGAGAATTTAATGCCAGGAAAGGATGGTTTGAAAATTTTAGAAAGAGGTTCTGCTTCAAAAATTTCAAGATAACAGGAGAAGTAGCTTCTGCCAACCAAGAAGCAGTAGACAAAAATTCCCAGATGCCATTAAGAAAATCACTAAGGAGAAAGGATATCTACCTGAACGGGTTTTTAATGCAGATAAAAGTGCCCTACTCTGGAAAAAAACAATGCCACAAAAGACATTAGTAAGAAAGACAAGTGAGCACCAGGATTTAAGGCAGGAAGGGATAGGCTAACTCTACTATTTTCTGCAAATGCAGTCTGGTTTATTATCAGAACTGCTTCTATCTATAAAAATGCTCAACCCGAAACCTTGAAGGGAAAGATAAACTCCAGTTACCAGTCTTTTGGTTGTACAAGAAGGCCTGGACAAGAACTCTTTTTCTGTGTTGGTTTCACTGATGCTTTGTCCCTGAAGTCAGGAAGTACCCTGCCAGTAAAGGACTGCCTTTTAAAGTTCTTTTGATATTGGACAATGCTCCTGACCACCAAGAACCCCATGAGTTCAACAATGAAGGAGCTGAAGTGGTCTACTTCTCCCCAAACACAATGTCTGTAATTCAGCTCCTAGATCAGGGGTTCATAAGGACCTTTAAGACTCGGTACGCTATGGAAAGGATTGTCAATGCTATGGAAGAGAACCCCTACAGAGAATATCATCAAAGTCTGGAAGGATTATACCACTGAAGATGCCATCATTGTTATAGAAAAAGCCATGAAAGCCACCAAGCCCAAAATAATAAATTCCTGCTGGAGAAAATTGTGTTCAGATGTTGTGCATGACCTCACAGAATTCGCAACAGAGCCAGTCAAGGACATTATGAAAGAGATTGTGGACATGGCAAAAGAGGTGAGAGGTCAGGGAGAAATTCAAGAGCTAAAAAGACACCACACCAGAGGAATTAAAAGAAGGTGACTTAATGGAGAGATAAGTACCTCCAAACCAGTGCCAGTTGATGAGGAAGACATAGAAGCAGCAGTGCAAGAAACGAAATTGATGTTAGACAATCTAAGTTCTGATTATTCAAGACGGCTTTTTACTTCTTTTATAGCATGGGCCCTTCTATGATGAGGGCACTGAAACTAAAGCAAATAGTAGAAGAAGGATTAGAGAAATGAAAAAGCAAAAATGTCAGACAGAAATTATGATGTACTTCTGTAAAGTTATATCTAGCGTACCTGCCTCTCTTTCCACCTTCTCTATGTCTTCCACCCCTAAGATAGCAAGACCAATGCTTCCTCTTCCTCCTCCTCCTTCTCTTTAGCCTGTTCAACATGAAGACGATGAGGATGAAGACCTTTATGATGATCCACTTCCACTTAATGAATAGTAAATATATTTTCTCTTCCTTATGATTTTCTTAATAACATTTTCTTTACTGTAACTTACCTTAGTGTAAGAATACAGTATACATGTTAACATACAAAATAGGTGTTATCGACTGTGTTACTGACAGGTTTTCAGTCAACAGTAGGCTACTAGTAGTTAAGTTTTGGGGGAGTCAAAAGTTATACATGGATTTTCAACTGCACAGGGTGCTGGTGCCTCTAACTACTGCATTGTTGAAGGGTCAACTATACTTAGAAACTTTTTGGAATGTAGTTGGTATTATGAACGAATAAGAATGCTCATGTACTTTGGCTTGGTAATCTCATGCTGGAAATTTTAATTCAACAAAAGAAAGAAAATCTATTGTGGCACAAACTATGTCACACTCAAATTGAACTTAAAGTCAAACAACAGGAATACAGAAAATTACAGTAGATTAATTAGAGGATATAATATAACCATTAGAATAATAGTTTTAGCTTTAATTGAAAATAAGAATTTAAGATTATATGTATGACTGAACTATGGTAAAATATATATGAATACTGACATAAAAATTAATGGTAACATAAAAATAAAAAATATAGAATTGGCTATTACCTTCTTTGTAAGGTTTATAGTATGTAGGTTTTTTTGGTTTGTTTTTAGCTTTTTCATAATTTAAAAGGAGAAAGGCTTCTCTACACATAGTAACACTTAAGGAGACCTGTTGAATACAGGAATTCGTTACCCTACAGTAAATATATACAAAGAAGAAGACATTTGTTAAGAATTGTAGTCATGGTAAAATATTCCACAATAGCAAGAAAAGAAGTATCTGATTAGCTATCATTAAATGTCTATGATCTAAAGAAGAAGTATGTATTGTTCCATGATCATGTGGTTGACAAAGACAGTAGGGTTTATTTTGTTGTTTTTTTAAACCTCCCAAATAATAAAATTAATTCTAGAAATCAGTCAATTCCATTAGCAAGAATCAGGTTTCTTTCTTTTACTACCATAGTTCATCAGTTCCATGTTTTTTCCTACTGTTTCCTAAAACAAATCCTATGAGGCTATCTAGCACAATAGTTACATTACAAAATCTCAGACTTTCAATGAAGCTTTTTGAAGTTTTTCTTTTAGATGTTTACCATGTTCAGGAAGGAGAAATTGATAGCAGTTTGTGATCACTATTGCAATGAGAACAAAGGAGATATCATCTCAAACTACTTAAACAAGTACCATTACCCATAATTTTCTGATGACAAAACTAATGTAAAATAAAATTATTCCTGCCCCTAATAAATGCATTCAAGAATGGTTTGATAAGAGAAACCATGGTTCGAACGCTGCTTTATTAGGTGACAATCAAGTCATTTATTAATGGTACACAAAGCTCTTTCAATGTGACTCCAATCTACTTTCCCAGTCTTCTTTAACTACTGGTCTTTATAGATTCCACAGTTCCAACTTCACTAGACTATGTACCTTTTGTGGAACAGATCCTGAATGTTGTTAATTTCTAATTTGGTAGGCCCTTCTCCCTCTTTTCTGCTTGAAAAACTAATACTCATCCTCCAAGGTTCAAATCAAATGTGTGGAATCTTCCCTGACATCACTAAATTGAATTATTCATTCCCTCTTTTGTAATCATAGTGTCAGTAAAGCAGAAATCAAGTACCAAGTTGATAAATGATTATTTTCCCCTATTGTTTCAAAATTTAATATTTACTGAACATCTCTTTATTATGTGCCAAGTATTAGCCTATGAATGTTTCACTGTGCAGAAAAGAGTTAAGACTGCATGCCTGAGACTGCTATCCTGAGAAAGACCCAACTGCAAGGTTGGCCCTTGGTTAGAGTTTGGGAATTTGGATTTTGGGAGGTTCCCCATCATTCACAGAAGATAAGCGTGGCTCACTGTACCTAAACTGTTTATATAAACACTATGGTTTATGCTGAATACCTGCTTTCCTTCTGAGAGTCTAGAATTTTGTTTTGTATCAGGGAAATGCGTGCCTATGTGACCAGCTCCCAGTAAAAACCTTAGGCCCTGAGTCTCTAATGAGGTTCCCTGGTAGACATTTCACAACTCATTGCTGGAGGATTAAGAAAGTCCTGTGTGACTCCATTGCCAGAGGACCCTTTGAAGCTTGCCCCTAGTTTCCTCCAGACTCTGCGCCATGCAATTTTCCCTTTGCTAACTTTACTTTGTATTCTTTCAGCACAATAATCACAGCTACCAGTGTAACTATACACTGAGTTCTGAGTCCTCCTAGCAAATCACTGAAACTGCGGGTGGTCTTAGGGACTCTTGACACACCCATATAGTATTTCACCTAATTTGTACAACCTCCCTATGGGAGGTAGATATTATTATCCTTACTTTATAGATTAGGAAACTGAGGATCATAGAAATTAAAGTGACCTGGAAAAGGACACAAAAGGATAATGTCAGGATGTGAACACCATTTTTTGCTTCTAAGTTTACTGCTTTTAAGTTTCCTGGGGGAAGAGAAACCAAAACATGAACATTGAAGGTTCACAATAGATAGTAGCTTTCAAGTTAAATAGTCTAATAATTGTTTCAAGTCAATAAAATTTCCTGAGCCTTGGGTTTTCCAATCTTTAAAATTAAAAATATGGCATTATAGAGTATGGCAGGATAGGGGGCAAAGGGAGATAACTATACACTATTAAAGGATAGTAAATTCTACACAGATTATATCTCACTGTAAACCATTTTTGTATGTTTGCTCTTTTCAATAGTTTCATAAGGCCCTTATGTCATACTGTGGTGTTGGACATTCTCAGTTGGAAGATCTTTATGCAGGAAGCCTTAAATACCTTTTAGTAAAATCTTTAAAGCAGAGTCGAAGTTTATTATGATGTCTGAAGAGCTTTGGGTCACTGGGTATTTCAGATAGGAAAACCTGGGCAACTTCCAGAGGCCCCTGTAAAATGAGAAATTAAAATAAGAAGTGTGTTTTTGTCTTCTCTAAAATCACACAGACAGAATTTACTCAAATGATGTTTCTTACAACTGAGATACAGACATGTCTATGCCTATATTAAAACTCTTCAGAGACAGATTATTTCAGTTTTTCCTAATTTCATATCTATATTCTTGCCAACTGCAATTAAATTAACTTCTTATTAGTTCATTCTTCAAAGAAACAGAATAGGAGCTTAAGGACTGGCTAATGTGTTCAATAATACAGTTTGTCTTATATTTTTTATATTCTTTAATTTATCCTAGATGTAAATGTCAGGCTACTACATCTGCCAATCCACTGGTTATCAGACTTGATTTTGCTAAAACAGCTTCCCTCAGTAATCCAAAGGTGTTCCTGATGCTGCAAGTTAAAGATGATAACATTTTGTGAGTAAGCTACATCATTTGGAGGTAAAACCTTAAAATCACATATGTTTTAGGAGGTAAAGGTTTTAAGGTGTTTACCTCAGTTTGGGCAGGGCATTTTTTAGTTTTGTTCCTTTAATCTAAAAACTAGTTAAGCCATATTACAGGAAATCTTACTTGAAGCCTTTCTGGATTTTTCCCTTGCCATGGAATATTTCTTAAGATTGGGGCCATGCCCAAAATCATCAAGAGAATTTGAATGAACCAACTACAAGGTGATATTGGAGATGGCTTCTCATCTGCATATGGCAAAAGAACAATATCTTATATACATATATTATTAAAATTTTCAAAATGATTCCATATCACTTATTTAATTCTCACAACTTATTGTGAAGGAAATCTGCAGAAGATAACATTAGGGAGAATCTAAGACAGTAGAAGTTCACAAATAAATACATAGCTCTGAAAATGAGCCCTTTTTTTAGATCATATTCTTTCAGTATAAGCTTTTAAAGGAAAAGCTATTTTAAGTGAATCAATTCTTTCTTAATAAAATGCATATGAACACAGAGGTGGAAAACCCTAGGCAGTAGAGAAGGCAGGTATAGAAACCTTAAGAACTGAGATTATACTAAACTTTTGTTTTTTTTTTTTTTTTGAGACAGAGTCTCACTCTTTTCCCCGGGCTACAGTGAGTGCCGTGGTGTCAGCCTAGCTCACAGCAACCTCAAACTCCTGGGCTCAAGTGATCCTTCTGCCTTAGCCTCCCGAGTAGCTGGGATTACAGGCATGCGCCACCATGCCCGGCTAATTTTTTCTATATATTTTTAGTTGTCCAATTAATTTTCTTTCTATTTTTAGTAGAGACGGGGTCTTGCTCCTGCTCAGGCTGATTTCTAACTCCTGAGCTCAAACAATCCGCACGCCTCAGCCTCCCAGAGTGCTAGGATTACAGATGTGAGCCACCGCGCCTGGCCTCCTAAACTTTTGTTTTTCAGTTTTCTTCCATTTATACTTTCAGTGTCTTTTGTAACCACTTCTAACACATATACTTTTCACTTGACTTAGCACTTATTTGTGATCTTTGTAAAATATAATAATGAAATTTTTCCAAATCCTATTTACAACTTTAATCACATAGTGCTAGCAAAAAGCACTAACCTGATTAACCGTTGTGCCTACAGATCCCTGGAGTACCATTTGAAGCATTTTGGGATCTGCTGGATCCTGATGTGTTGCAAATGCCAACTCCTGTGTCTTTTTCTGCATGTCTTCAATAGCAACTTCAATTGGTGTTAAGATGATCTGAATAAAATAGCATCTATTAGGTGAGTGTACTGATTGAAAACTATTCAATGAGCTTTACATATAATCAATTAAAAGTATGAAAAAAGTGGAGATTAACTGTAAACTTTTATGTAACAATGAAATCCCAGACTTGGATCCCTAAAAGAAAAAAAAAAAAATTCAACCTTTTAAAGCATAACCAGAGAGTAAATTAGGAATTTAGAAGTCAAAAAATAATGGCTCAAAAGTGGGTAAAGTTCTAGTATATTATGGTATGAGGGATGGCACGTATCTTCTGCTACATCTACACTATTGTTACATGGTTTGCATGTATTTGTTTCACTAATTCTATTTCCCCAATTTATAGACTTACCTCCTCTTTATGAGTGACATTGACCCTTGTTTTAATATAAGGAAAGGCATGAGAAGTAGTCAGAATGGTCTTCCTTTTGAATTGTTCATGAAGTTCCCCATGGGCACGACCATCTAAAGTGAAGGGTGTACAGTACATGAAACGTCTAAGATTATAATTTTTGTCAAAATATGTGATTCTGTCCTTCATCTCATATGTGTCAAAGTATGGCTCCACGTAGGTAATCTGAATATATGCCTGGGAAAGGAAAAAATTGTTCATTTCCTCACTGTTAAGTTATCATTTAGTCTTTCTCAAACAACATAGCAAAGAGGTATATCTCAAAGATACACCTATATGTCATTACAGTCTAATCAACCATACCTTGTTAGGATCTAATTTACACTTGTCTACAGGATTAGAGTCCTTGATTACTTCAACCACATCCTCTCCAAATCTTTCTCCATAAAATCCCTACAATAAAGAAAAAGAAATCTTTTACATGAAGTTAACAGGATTAGAAAATAGAGAAGGCCTTTGAGGGAGATTCCTGAACAAAATTAGGGGACTTAGTAAATTCTCTACAACCATGTCAATAATTACAAAATAAGAATTATTTAGGCTTACAAAAATTATACTAGCTCATAAATTATCATGGCCTCAGTCCATATTTATTTGACATTATTCCCATCTATGTACTTTGACTCAAAAATATAAGAAAAAAAACAATTTTCTCTAGTAAAAACACAGGATTCCATAAAAGGTTCTAAAGAGAAACAAAAGGTAACAAAGACAAAAGAAACTCATTATCTTTGATGTGCAGAATCTTACTTTTATTGAGTTTGATGTGGCCTAATTTCTTAGCAGACCATGGGTCAATGAATAAACTTTCATTTTTTTAATGCTTTTTTTAAAATTCCAGAATTTTCAAATAAAAGTATTGACCTATTGAAGTTTTGTATAGGTTTAGATTTTGAAAAGGCATCCTTGGGTCACCAATGTAGTGACTGAGATGCTTTGCATCTCTGCAGAAGAAATTTGTTTTAAATTGTTTAGATTTCTGGAAATACAGACTTTTAGAAAAAAAAGAAAAAACAAAAGAATGTAGTGACTATTTCATATGACATTGGGTAGCAGCATGGGCAATGGATGGAGCTATTCAAAAGGAAAAATCAAATCTAAATCTTCAAAGGAGGCCTGGTACAGTGGCTCATGCCTGTAATCCTAGCACTCTGGGAGGCCAAAGCGGGAGGATTGCGTGAGCTCAGAAGTTCGAGACCAGCCTAAGCAAGAGAACTCATCTCTACTAAAAATAGAGAAATTAGCGGGTGTCATGGCATGTGCCTGTAGTCCCAGATACTTGGGAGGCTGAGGCAAGAGCATTGCTTGAGAGGTTGCAGTGACCTACAATACCGCCACTGCACTTTACCCAGGGAGAAAGACAGAGCAAGACTCTGTCTCCAAAAAAAAAAAAAAGAAAAGAAAAATCTTCAAAGGAAAAACTCCCACTCCTGTCCCAAAAACAGGTTTTTTATGATTAAGAAATACAGTCTCAATTAATATTTCCCAAGACTTATACTTAACCTCTTGAAAAATAAAAAGTCACAGTTTAAGACAATTTATGAAAGTTGAGCCCAGCAAAGTTGCCAATAAGAATATAACATTCAAAAAATTAATAATATCAGCTGAGAATAAAAATAAGCCTGGAGCACTACATCTCAAACTGTAACGTGAAAAGAAATCACCTGAGGATCTTGTTAAAATGCAGATTTTAATTCAAAACTCTGGGGTGGGGTCTGAGAATCTACATTTCAAACAATCTCACAGGTGATGCCAATGGTTCTGGTCCTATGGACCACACTTTCAGTAAAAAGAAGGTTGGAAAGAATAACTATAACAGAAAAGACTGTTTAGCCTGACAAATATGGAAATCAATCATTTATGGTGAAAATTAAGAAATTATAAAGGCCAAGGAAAGTGTTTTTTTTGTTTGTTTTTTTTTTTTTTTGAGACAGAGTCTCACTCTGTTGCCCGGGCTAGAGTGAGTGCCATGGCGTCAGCCTAGCTCACAGCAACCTCAAACTCCTGGGCTCAAGCAATTCTACTGCCTCAGCCTCCCGAGTAGCTGGGACTACAGGCATGCGCCACCATGCCCGGCTAATTTTTTCTATATATTTTAGTTGTCCAATTAATTTCTTTCTATTTTTAGTAGAGACGGGGTCTCGCTCTTGCTCAGGCTGGTCTCGAACTCCTGAGCTCAAACAATCCTCCCGCCTCGGCCTCCCAGAGATCTAGGATTACAGGTGTGAGCCACCGCGCCCGGCCGGGAAGTGTTTTTAAGGTATGATTTCAGGCTAAAGTTCTAAAGATATTTCACTAGGAACCTGGTAAGCCAAAAGAGATGATAATGTTTGGGTCAGAAATTTCTTGGGGTTCTAATTCTAGTTCCATTATTAGCTGCTACTTAATTCCTTATGTCTTTTTCTATAAAATGTGGATAACATTATATATATTTCTTCATAAATCACAGTAATTCTGAAGGATATAGGGGTTTCTAAAATATGTTATGAAAATAGAACCTAAAAAAATAGAGTTAAAAATATTATTTTACTGTTGCTATAAAAGATTTGAAGGATTTGAAAGAGTATTATTGTAACTAATCAAAAATCCTTATAATGAAAGGGAGTAGTTTATTGGGCAAGATCTGGCTTATCAAATGATTAGTTCTAGATCTGAGTCTAATCATCACAGAGAACACAAATTAAAGATGACATTTATGAACTACCACAGCATTCACCTCCAATCTGTGAGATATCTCTGCAAGTTTCGTTATTGCAGGCTCCTTGTAAACGAATTCTTGTTCATCCAAATCCCCAAACTTGGTTCCATAAAAACCAACACGAAAATAGGTGCCAAACATCCGCTTACCATCCTAGGTTTAGGAAAATGAAGAAACTTTAATATAAAGTCTTTTTTTTCATGTTATGCTTAGATTGCTATAGCATAAAATTTCTAAAGTACTGCAAAAAGTTTTAATTCAGAATTATAATATTTTATTATTTTTCAAATAAATGTAAAACAAAATAAATAGTCTTTTTTCATTATTTCTAACAAACAATATTATGCAATTAGGGCTTTTACCAAGTGACTAAATCACATATGATATATATGTTTCAGAGTTTGTACCAAGTGACTATATCGCATTGGTTTATGCTTTTTAAGTCTATACGATTAAGATAAATTAACTGATTTTTCTTAATGCAAGAAAAGATGCTTGGTATAACATGAACTGTGTCATAATTGTACTGATATTAGAGCATACTAGCTAACGTTAAATTTATAAGCAACATTAACATTTTAAAATTAGCATTAGCCTTTATGTAAGTTCTTTACAAATATTAAATAAGATCATAAAAGTTAGGAATCAAGTATAGCACCTGGCATAGAGCAGACAATCATAAATGTCAAGACCCTCCAGAAGCACTAAAGCAAAAAATCTACATTTAGTATCCCTGTGCCAATACAAATATTTATATATGGAAGAGTAACTAAAAACAGACTAGTAAGGGAAAAAACTTATGAGTGAAAGATAACAAGAAAAAAAATTTTCAGATGAGTTGGTTATTCTAAAGCTCCCAAACCACCCACTGCATGCATTAACCATATATTCATGCCAGGTACAAAGTGCATTAGTGTCACCTTAACTCTCTCACACAGTACATGTGAAGGCAAATTCTTTCAATAAAGATAAATATTTGGAAGCTTTCTATGCAATTTTTACAATTTAGGTACAAAACTATTCCAGAAGGATTTTGTGGTAGCTCTTATATACACAACTACACATAAGTATTTAAATACCTTTGAATTCTTTTTAAGCCTAATCTGCTTTATACTTATTTTTCCAATATTGAAAAAGCAAAAGAATATATATAAAATAAGCTAGAAATGTTACAGATAATTAAGCAAAATTGTAAACTCTGATCCTTAATTTACCAGTTTTATAATACCAAAAAAAAAGTACAGTGACTAAAAATATACACACATTTTTGTTTAAAAGCAGCAAGGTTTTAAAGAAAAATGTCTTTGGAGCTAAAGAAACTTGGGGTTTCTAATTTTAAAACATTTTTTCATAGTTACTTTATTTCAAAATTTAACAGACATAAAAATTAACTGATTTCTATAGCAAATGAATCTCTCTTGAAGGATTATATGAATTCAATCAAAATTTTGATTAAAATCATCAGTAAGCCAATGGAACAATATAATAATAGTAAATTTTGACATAATCAAGGAATGAAGGCACTGCATGGAAAATAAAAAAGACATCTAACTAAATTACTAAAAAATTTGTGACTTATTTTTCATAATGTCGTACATATATATTCCTAATTTTTAAAACCATAAATACTAAAATACTGTTATTCTGGCTGTACTCCTCTCAGAGTACAACAGTTTAAAACAATATTCCAATTCTTCAATATTGTGGCTCTTTAAATATTTGAAGACAGCATTTAGGACCTGTTTCCCTTAGCTAAACATTTCAATTCTCAATCAACCTTCATATGACAGGAATTACTACCCTCTTTGCATTTTATTCATTTTTCAGTGCCATCTTTTAAAGTGTGATATCCGTGAAATAGACACAATACTGCTGATGTGATCTGACCAGATACTGCTGATCTGATCCAGTGGGCTAACTGCCTCCTTGGATCTGGACACTGAATTTTATTAATGCAGCTTAGAACTACACTACCTGTTTTTATATATTTTCTCATATTAACATTCAGTTGAAGGAATAAAATTATTGAGTGTTTATTATGGTAGCCACTGTTCATCTTCAGTAGTAGGAAAATAAAAATTAATAAGACTTGCTTCTCAAGAGAATAAAAAATATATTCAAATAATTACAGTACAAAGGGATATATGCTATAATAAAAAGCAATATAAGAAAGGATTAATCCTGTTGGAACCAAGTCACAACAGAGGTGACACGTTGACAGGGTTCTATGACTCAAAAGAACTGGCCAAGTAGATGGGAGGAGGGAAGGAAGGGACATTCAAATAGAGAGGGAGAAAAAAAAGGCAGATATAAAGTCATAAAATAGAATGTATGTGAGGGAAACTATTCATTTATCCATTCAAATATTTACTGAATGTCTACTGTGTGTCAACAAACAGTCCTAGACATTTGTGATAAATCTTTGAACAAAAGGGACAAAGAAGGTGGTCAAGGTAGGTTTCATCAAGAAGCTGACAAAGGACCAAAGACTAAAGGAGTTATTCCCCCATCCCTGGGGGAAGTGCATTCTAACCAGAGGAAAGAGCCTGTGCAACTACCCTAAGGCAAGAGGAACAGGAAGGTAAAAGGTATGGCAGAACAGGAGACATGCTTAGGGAGGTAACTACTGGGAGTTACTGGAATTTAAAATGAATGTGTCTGTCCTGGAGTTGGGGAGGGAGTAGCAAGGGATAGATAAGACTAGAGAGGAAGAAAGGCTAAGCAATTGAGTGACTTTATCTTCAACTTATTAACCGAAAGAGTCCATTAGCCACTATCCAGTTCAGGAAGGCATGATCACATTGCTTCACCTTCTGGAAAAACATCATTTCATCTTTAATTCCTCTTCAGAGTTTTGGACCACATGATGATTGTTTTTCTTTTAAATTAAAAACAAAAACACTACTTTCCCATAATCTGGACGGTTTTTCTAACATTAGCCTCCTTTACTGTTATGAATTTTTTGAATTTTCCATCACTGCTGCACTACAGCTTATTCTTCCTTAGCAATTCTCTTACTGCTTCCACAATCTTCCAGGTGATGAAACTATGTCCCAAAGAAATCCATCTACCATGTCTCTAAATGGTTGAAGTCGCTTATGACAAATATATCTTAAATCTGTTTTTGTTTTGTTATCTTTATTTAGCAAGAAACATTCTGTTGGGCTAGTTGTATATTTCCATAATGACATCACTTTTTAAAAGCCTTTATCTTCATCCAGTTGTTTCCCACTATGCTTCGTTGAAGGTAACAGATTTCCATATAGGTATACGAGTATACACACAGTGGCAATCTCTTTCTTTCTATTAGATCTATCCTTCTTAAAGAGCATTTATCAGTTCATTCCAGTTACAGATCTCAACCTGGGAACAACTTGATTTTATTAACAAACTTGTGTTAAGATTTCAAATAACAGTAATGATAATATTAATGATAAAAATCATAGTAACAACAACAAAAATAACGACCAACATTTTTCGAGTACTTAATACGTGTTAGACATTGGCTAACCACTTTATATGTATTACATCAATTCTTATCACAACTCTATTTTCACCCTCATTTTAAGATGAGGAAAAGTAACTTGCCCAAGGTCACATTGTTAGTAGATGGTGGAGCTGCGAATTAAACTCCTATATACTTGACATCAGAGTCCAAGTTCTTAAATGACCTCTATGTTCCCTATACTCTACATACTGGTGTAAACATTAGTATGACTAGGACATTAGTATGATTCCCTGAATTGTCTTCCACTTCTCTGATGTTTTCACTGAGAATTTTTGTGAATTTCCTTGCAGAATTCTTTTGAAAATTACCTCCCTCCCTGTTTTGTCTTCCTTTATATGATAGCACTGACCTCTACTGTAATTATTTTTGCATATTTGCATATCCTTCCTGTATACTCCAGTATAAAAATCAGGTTGGTGGTTTACCTACCAAACATAGTCTTCTAACATATATCTTACTCCATTTCTTATCGGAGGTTCAATTCTGACCATTACATGTCCCCATCCAGAAAAAAGAAATCACATCTAATTTCATTTACGTAGTAAACATTTGCTGTCCATATCTTTCTTTTTCTCTTCAAAAGTAGCATAAGGGGCAGAAAAAAAATCAGTGGTGTGGTATATCTCTTTAGGTGCTCAGTCATGGGTCTATACCAACTATCAGGAAGTCACCAACTTCCAGAAAGTATCTCCTCCTAGAGATAGTAAGTTTCTTTCCATTTCCTGTGTTTTCCTTAACTTTCTTCACATCTAACTTCGCTTTCCTGAGGTAAAGACTCATGGATGTTTTATACCTAAATGTTCTAATTTCTTTTTTAGAGTATCACATGTTTCCACTCAATTACCTGAGTACTTGTTTTAAGTATGCTCTACCCTCCTGAATTTTTATTTCATTTCCTTCTTTCAGAGTTTATTCTCTTCCCACCATGCCCATTGTAATTTGCTGTTTCTAATTCAGCTCTACCTTTTATTTGCTTGGATGAATGACTTCATCTCACTCAGCTTTAGTGTGGATTAAAGAATATAAAAATTCAACAGAAGCCCCTGAGCCAGAATTATAGCCAGTATTTCTGAGCATATAAAAATCAAAATACTGGCTCATATTCATGTCCATCCAGTCCAATAATAAAAGGTAAGATATTTTGCATGTGTCAATCCCAAAAGTTAGGGTAACCCACATTTCCTCAGTGAGCTAGTAGAGAGAGTTTAGTTTAACAAAACTAAGCCCATCTTCTCTAGCCTTTCCGGAAACTTTAAGATACACCTACTAGGGTAGTAGTATTTTCTTTAAAGAAATATGTTGTAATCTTTAAGAAAGTAGAAAGTGTCATGTGACTATGTTATCAGTGTTTGGGGATTGATTTTTCTGAAGAATCTAAACTTGTAATAGTATACTTTTGAAAACAAATTGATCACTACTTGATAAATGGACAAATATATCTTTTAAAAATAAATATATACACATAAAATACAAAATGGTTATATAAATTTTCACACAGAAATTTAACATTTGTCTTCTAAAAATAAAAATGCATCATAAGAAAGAAATAATTGAAATACTTTATTTCCTATTATTTTAAGGAACTGAAATTGGCAAAGGAGGTAACAGCCACATGATTCCTGAAGGGTTCATGATTTATGTTACATGGTAAAAACTACCAAATTGCTAAGTATCAAGTTTTAGAGTTATCTTTTACACACACACACAAACATATTCTCTCTCTCACACACACCCCTCCCCCAAAAAGCTTTGCCAACTCAAATAATTTATTTGCAAGGAGGGTAATAAAAAGTGAAATGTATTACTAATATACAAACTCAGAAGGGCTATTCCTGTAAGTTGAGGAGTAAGTTATCAATTCAAAGAGCCTTTCTACAATGTATAAATTATCCCTACTGCATTTCAATCCAGTAAGAGTTCTATGAGAATACTAGGAAATTAGCTAGGAAACATAGTTTTTAGAAAAAATAAAATCACTGAAGTTTTCACAGTCAAAAAGAAAAATATTCACAAGATAGAACTTACCACAATAGACAATAGTAAAAGTAGGGAGTAGGGTCAGCAACCAGGGGCAAGAGAGAAGAGAAAACAGAAAGCATTTTAATTACAGAAATTTCAAAACAAATAAGCAGCAAATGGTAGCAAACACATTTTTAAAATGCAAGCATCCATTTAAGTTTTACAAGGGAAAAGCAAAAAACAAACGTGCAACAAATTTAGCAGCTACAAAGCTAAAGGTCCAGTAAAAGGTAGTGACAAGAATATAAACAAAAAGTCTGTGCGACTTTTACCATGCAATAAACATGATGACAGAATGATATTAATGTCATAACCAGTGAAAATTATACCTTTCAGGGGTCGATTTAGCATCAAGGAGACTAGTAATAAACTGCTCAGAGGTTTCAATATATTCTTTTATGCTTAATTACCAGCTAATTCTATTTGATGTGAGGAAATCCATAAGGAACTTTATCACTTACAGATAACCATGGCAAGTCTCTTTACATATATCTTAACTGAGCCACAGAAATGAGGAATTCTTTTTTAGGTATTAATAAGGTCACACATTTAATCTTGAGAATTAAGGTAGATCTGAAAGTACTGGCTTCATCTGAAGAAAAGCAAAAGGTGAGTACTATTTCAGAAATAGAAGAAAACTTAGTAGTAACATTTATTCCTAAGGTTTTCTATTCAGGTTTCAAAACAAGGATTGCAATGCAAAACCAAACAGAGAAACCTAACTAATAAAGCGAGAGGCAAAGCATACAACTTTATAACTATACCTAGCTTTAAATAAATTTGATTTATTAATACCATGCTTTACCTTATCAAAACAAATTAGAGTATATTTTATAGAATTCTTTCTTTTACAGAAAGATTTAAAACAATGGTAATCAATTCTTCCTGGCATTTTTTCAGGTAAGATTTGATTTACATGTAACTTTTCACGAGCCTAATTACTACATAAAAAGAAGCACACATAGTCTTATTAAACATTAATGCATCAAACACTGTCAGAATACGAGGTCAAATTAAATTTCAAGTTCTCTCAATCTCTTTATCCTTCCCTCCGCCCCAATTTAAATGGCAAAAGTGAATTTCTTTCCTCAGTAGTACTTATGGTCAAGGTGAAGAGACCCAAGATCAAATTAACAGTGTCTCATCAGTTCTAAGATGTGCATTTTTTGCTCACATTTTAATATTTCTGTAGTTGGTATTCGTCTTTCAACTGACAGGATGTCCTGGTTTAATACACAGGCTTTTTTCACTTTCTTAAATGCGTATAAAATAATAGTATGTTTTATAACTGATGGCGTCTTACATCAGATGAAATAAAGTATTTTCTATTTATACCTCTGAGCAATAACACATAAATCGACCTCTGTAAAATGAGGTGAAACAATACGGTTAAAAAAAGAAGTCTGTGTGTAAATGTTGATGAAAGAAATGCTTTAAGGAATAAAAACAAACTAAAGTGATGACGAGGTGGCTCATTTACCAAAGAATCTCATTAGTGTAACATACGGATTTCCATGCACTGCCTACAACCTCTTAATAATAAATTTCTTAAAATAACTTACAGTATTTTAACAAAATTTCTTTGGTTAATGAATTCAATTGATAGCAGATAGCAACAGAATGCCCACAGCTAGCACATGTGGGCAAAGCATTGGCATAAGAAATCTGATCAAATCAATCTATTAGTGTCTTTAACTAACTAAAACATTACCTACCTCCCAGCCAGTACTCTGTATAATAAAAAGTAAAAAAGGGCAAGTCATAAAAAAACTGTTTAAAAAGAACAAGAAAAGGCCAAAGGAAGTTCAGTAGTGTAAGGCATCACATACCATAATTTCTTCCCCATGAATAGAAGACAAAAGGATATTTTAAACAGCATATTCTTTCACTTAAGACCTATAATAATTTTAAAAATTGCTTGTTCAAAACCCAGCAGCTAAAATTTTGCCTTTTAAAAACTTTAATAAGTGAAAGTACAAATTTTGGGGAAAGACAGACAGCTGCTTGTTCCATTTATGTGTTTAGATTAGGTCTCTACAGTAAGCTACACTTCACTGAAGTATCCAGGATAAACTGGAGTACAAATTGCAATTTTGCTCAAATACAACTAACATCAATAGATGAAAGTTTCTTGGAAACGCTAGCTCTAGATGTTCCAGATCTGACATGCACAATTTACAATTTATAGCTCCAGAAGCTGTGATAAGATTTCTTTGATAGTATATACACAACAGATTATAAAAAGACCCACCTGTTATGATCATGAAACCTAATCAATCTTTTGCAGCTTCAACATTTTAGTAGATGACATCAAAATCCTGACTCAACAGAATAGTAGGCCCATTTTAAGACTGTTAACAATTTTTCAGATTATATCAATTCATCTAGAACAGTTTAGCCCATGGCAAGAAAGAGGTCAAGCTGATAGACAATAAAGTAGGACTAGTACTGCATATTAAAGTGGATAATCAACACTCCACCTCCTTCTTAGACAATGGCAGCCACAGACAATAGCAGGGTAGCACCGGAAAGGGAACAGAAAAGTGAAGGAGGCTCAATAGGATATTTCAGAGTATTTCAATGGAGCCAAGGGTTTAGTTTCAAGGAAATCAATTGCTAGTAGTCTAATTCACTTTAAACCAAGTTTAATTAGATTTTAATTTTGGTGATAATATGTGGATTCCATAACGAACTATAAAGATCAAGTATTGAAATCATACTATTTTAATTAAATATATGACAACCATTTTACTTATTTTCACTAAATATTATTTTCATATTGGAAATATATCAAAGGATGATGGAATGTAAACATCTAGGAAAAACAAAGTTCAGCTGCAGTCATTAAAAATATTAATTTATTAAAGTTTCACATCATTTAGTAAAACAACTTTTTTTTTTTAGTAAAAAAAACTTCTTGGCAGTAAAGGAATAGATATCAATTTTAAAAATCAGATTCATAATTATAACCTACATGTGAAACAGAAAATAAAACACGATTTTAAAAATCTGCTAACTAGTAACAATTCGAAAAAAATGAAGAAAAAAGCTATGACGAAAGTTTATGATGATCATCATTTACTTCAGGCGGATTCATTTTTTGTTATTAAACCTTGCTTTGGCCATGAACCATCATTTTGACTACTCATTTGTAACTTGAGTAAAATGGTCATTTCATGGATCTAGTTTGACATCACTACAAAACAACGTTAATGCTTTTAGACATGTTTTCTCTGTTTATACTGAAGCTAGAAATTGGAATCATTACCTGATGAACAATTTTGCTGAATGCTTCTTGAAGTTTACCATGAATTGTGGACAGTTTCTTTGCATCCCGATTAGCTTCATGAATAGGAATGAGTACTTTGTAAACCTCATTAACTGCTTCATACATGCCAGCCTATAAGAATAATGTTTATAAAATATTGCTTTCTTTTACATCAGTAAGAAAGTACAATAATTACAATGTATGAATTTATAATATTTCTATTAAGACAATACCCCTGAAGCTTTTCCAATAGGACATAAAAATAAACAATACTAATTTTTACTGTACTAAGGCTTAATAAAAATTTTATACAATGTATCATCTCTGGATAAATTGATATGTAGGTAGGTATGTCTGTGTGTATATTAATAAAATAAAAGCATATTTATATTTCTATATAATTTGAATTGGACATTCTGCCTCTACTGAATAATTACTTCACTGAGGAAAATGTGTATGTGTGTACTAACTTATGCAAATAAACTTTTGCAGAAACTAATTCTGAGCAGAGGAATAAAAGAGATTCCATATTATACTGGTCACAGATACCCAATTCTCTTATAATTAGAGAACCTGTGGCCTCCTGGGAAACTAAAATCCTTTATTTTTCCAAAATATTAAGTCAGCACAGGCAATCTCCTATGGAAAAAAATCACTGATCTTTAACAGAACATGAGAAGGTTCTGAGCCACCAGATTTTCTGCCACTGGGGGCTAGTTGGGCAGTGGTTGGCCAATGGTTGTTAGGGTTATAATCAGAGAGAGGGGACAAGATGTGTTTGTACTGCTTGTCCATCTCTTATCCTTAAGTGAGAGAAGAGAGAAATGTTTTCCAAAAGCCATTGAGTTTTCTTGCTTCACAGATCAGCTGAACATTTTTCCCAAGGAAAACATATGTAGTCCTTACATTTCCTAGTCAGTTCACAGGAGTATATTTAAGCAATAAATGTAGCTATAATAGTGAGATATGTTTAGTGTAACTAAAATGCCTCAGTAATTATTTTAATTAGAATCAAACAGATTATTTGAAAAAGAATCAAATTCAGTTATATACAACTGCAAAAGATCTTCTGTAATATAGGCCACTGTCCCCCAACCTAAATGCACTAATGTGAATTATTAAAATTACACACATAGAGTTATGTTAATTAAAATATTCCATCAAGAGCCAAAACCCTTTTCCTCCTGCTAGTTCACAATGGTCTAGGGGAGGAATTGGGATGATCAAGGTCCCCAGAGGCAAGACATTTTAAAGAGGACCAACACCTAATATTTTAAGTCTGAAAAAAAATACTCTTTTTTTTTTTTTTAAGGCTGGTCAAGTGAAGCAGTGGGAATGGAGAATGAAAAAATATTAAGAGTCTCAATCATTATGTTTAAATGAGCTGGTTCTAAGTTCCAATAATGATGAAGATGATGATAATGGCAAACACACTAGTACTTTCTTAGAGCCAGGCACATAAAGTGATAAGCACTTTATGTATCTTAATCCTGACAACACTCCCATGAGGCAGATATTATTATTAGATGTATTTAATTGATAAGAAAAGTGAGGCACCAATAGGTTAGGTAATTTGTGCCTGAAATAATACAACTAGTAAGTAGCAGAGCCAGGATTTGAATTTTGTTTTTTTTTCTTTTTTAAAACAGGGTCTCGCTGTCACCCAGGCTGGAGTACAGTGGCATCATCATAGTTCACTGCAACCTCAAACTCCTGGGCTCAAGTAATCCTCCTGCCTCAGCCTCCCCAGTAGCTGGGACTACTTGCCACCACGCCTGGCTAATTTTTCTGTTTTTTGTAAAGACGGGGGTCTAGCTCTTGCTCAGGCTGATCTCTAACTCCTGGCCTCACGTGATCCTCCCACCTCGGTCTCCCAAAGTACCAGGATTACAGGTGTGAGCCACTGTGCCTCACCCTGAATCTATCTCTTAACCAATATCCTGCAAAATAGGGGTAAGGCCTGCTGAAGAAATAACCAATTAATTCCCAACAGTAATACAATGGGGAAGTAGGGCAGCATTGCATATTACCTCAAGTTTCTCTCTTACCCTTACGTGAACCTCAGTGTCTCCTAAACCTTGGTGCTGGGAAACTAAACACACAGCAGAAAAATCAGAGAAAGCAGATGACCCTAACAACATGGTTCAAGCAGGGATTCAGCTATTTTCTCTTCCTCCAATAAACATCCCATCTGGGTTCTACCTGACGGCTTCAATTCTTCATATACAGATGGGAGGAAACAAGGATTGGGGTTATATAGCATGGTACAGTAGTAAGGCAAGGGATTCAGAACGTAGTTTATAAAGCTCCTGAAAAGTAAGTCCCAGGCCTCCAATACCTACCTAATAAGGATCACTATGTGACCAACAGGATGAGTAGCCATAACTTTCCTGGACACCAGGGCAATGTCCAACATACTAGAAAGAAGATTCTCCCTTTAATCTAATAGACAAGCTCTATTTACAGAGCCATGTTAGTCTATCCAAGAACTTAAATCACTGGAGACTTTGTTTATTTTGTTCTGTTTTTAAATTTAAAACTTTCAGAAAATGTGTAGTGGTAAAAGTTTTGTGAACCAAAAAATATCTGCTGCAGATTACATGCTAGTTCATAAACAAGCAAATGAAAAACACTTAGGGAAGTGACAGATTATTAAGATTAAAAGGATGATGAATCTTGAAAGAAAATCTGTTCCTAGATAGTTTCTAAGGGACTTAGAAGAAACTATGTTAAAAGTAAAGTAGGATCATAAGGCAGACAGAATAAATATACATGTCGCTGATAATTCAGAGGTATGAAACTGTGGGAAAAGAATGAACAAGAGTCATCTACCATAGAGAAAGAAGCAGCTGCTTGTTCCAGCAATCCCACAAGTCCTGACTCAGTAAAGTACTTTCCAGAGCAGATACCTTCTTCATCTGGAGATACCACGTCATCTGAGACTGCAGATTCTTCTAAAACATTAGATGAAATATTCTAGGGGGAGAAAATAGTGAAAAGGTTTGTAAAATGAATTAATTTCCTAGTATGAAAAATGTATAAGAAGAAATAATTGAAGATGAAATGTAACTATCAGCTTAGGTTAAAAAAAGAAGAGTTGATATAATGGTAAAAGATAAATCTCCAAAAACTTTCTATATTTTAAAGATGGTAATAAAATGGAAACACAATTGCTAGATAACCTTTCTCTTAATAAAAAATTGTGAGAAAGAAAATTAAGAAAAATCATGGGCTATAGAAAATAGTGATATGACATAAGATATCTAAGGTGAAATGGTCTCTTAGCTTATCTAATATACATTCAGTTAATGAAAAAACTCAGGTATAATAAAAGCCCTCTTATCCAATGAGATTTGAATTGGCCATTATTTCTAAAAAAGGAATCATAAATACGTACCTTATTTTATTATTTTAACCCAAACATTTATAGTAGATGTACACTCATTTATCAGCTTTTTTGAAGTAGGTCTAAGGCCTTTTCTTTTTGCATGGGTCTCCAGATCAGAGTTCCATATAATCTCTCGAGTAAATATGCATAATGCAACCTTCTTTTAAGATTTCCAGTTTTGGTTTCTTTAAAGTAGAGTGAAAACTTGAACTGAAAAGATTACCAAATTATCCTAAATGTTTAGCAGCTTTCTCCCCAATCCTTTATATTTGTCTGGTCCAAAATTAATTCAACAGCAATTGTTTTGGAGACCCACCTTTATTAATTCTTTGCAAAACATTCAGCTTAGTTTTCAAAGAAGCAATAATTTTCTTTCTGCATTCTTATTTCATCAGAAGACATAATATTTAATTAAATTTTGTATCCCAAACCTGACATTAACAGGTTTTGGAGAAAAGCAAAGCGTAACTGACTCTTGGTAAGGAAAGAATTCAACTCATGAGTCAGAGGTATATACCACTATTAGTGGGTAAACTCATCTGTGAGTCATGGTATTAGTATACTTTATACAAGGAATGGAGAATGTTAGTTTATCCGGTGTGTTAAGTAAAAGCCAATAAAGAGTTTCTATTGAATTCGGTTTTTTTTCTTATTTTTTCTAAAGTTCAGATCAACTCCATCCTATTGAATTCTGATTCTCAGTATTTTGACTATAATACATTTTCATAGATGCTAAAGTCTATAACTGATTACAAAGCAGTAAAGGCAAAAAGAATAAATATATAATACATAGCACTGATAATTCAAAGGTTAAGAAACTGTGGAAAGAGAATTAACAAGAAATACTTTTTAAAAATGCATTAATGACAATGACAGTGAAATGTTAATTCACCTTATGTAGCTTTGGCTTAAGTCATTAAGCTTTCCTTACAAACTGAAAGAATCTAAACACCAGTGAGAAAAAGCTAAAACTAGAACAGGACATACCTTGATATAATGTACCTCTGGCAGATTCCTACCTGAAATGTTACACATCCTACAGGAAGATATTTCCTGTCTTCCAGCATGCTCAAATATTCAGCAACAAGTGCTGCTGAGTGGACCAGACATTGCGCAGCTTCAGCATGGTTGCTTCGTTCTGAGTGTTTGCCAGCCATGTTCTGTAACCAGGTCAGTCGCAGATCTGGAGAGGTCTGGTAACCTTTGGCAATTCTAATAAGGAAAGAAATTCTCAATTAGCATATGCTTCCCAAGTTGGGAGGGAATTTAGATAGCTTGCTCAGAGTTAACTTAGACAAGTTTCTATTACTGCACAAACCTATTAAGTTTTTCAGTGGTATGAAAATGTGTATGCTTAGAGAAATAACTGTGACCTATGGGATGGAGAATATCAGTTGTGGGTTGGGGACAAAAAGAGACATACCATATTAAAATCTGGCCAGTAAGAAAACAATCAGTAAGGGAAAAAGTATGAGAGTTTATGTGTTCGTTATGGAAACATAGGGAAGTTTTATACTTAAGGAAAAGAAGAAGACATATAAAAGGTAGTTTCATCACATCATCTTTATTTCAAAGAGAATAAAATTGTTTTATTTGTACCTTTAATGAACCCCAAAACTGTGAAGAGAGAGGGTCATATGGCAAAGAAAACTTCTTAAGTTTTACTATTGTATCAATAAAGGTACAAAAGGAATCACAAATTTTTCAAAATGTTTCCCTATAAATATTATTATTTAGGCATAACTATATTGAAAATCAGGTAATTAATGTTATGGTAAAACATGCTTATACTGTATTTTCTTCTTGAAAGACTGATTCTTACACTAAAAATATGGGCCTTGGGTCTTCCTAGGAAGTCTGAGGCCCAGGACACCAAGGTGTTCAATATGTGTTATGATTATTTTTAAAAATCTTCTTGTTTTTGATAATCAATAAATATACTTGCATAGTTCTTAAGAGAAGTGACACAGAAGATCTGAAAAAGCAGCCTGGAAAAAGTGCATTTTGACTCTTCAATCTACCATTAGAGAAATCATTAAATAATTTTTGTATGTTTATTTTTTTCAGCTAATGTTTTCCATGTTTTACTAAGCCCTTGTATAAAGTATAAGTGAATCAAACAAATCAAACAAATGCTACCTGTACATTAGATCAATCAACATTTCAGGATCTTCCTGGTGTTCCTTCATTTTAACAGTATCAGAAAGGATCATATGGAGATTGAAAACCAGATCTTGTACCTGCAGCAGAGAATTATATGAAAAACATTCTTGAATTGTTATTCATTTGCAATCGCTAAATCAATTTGGGAGATATTTCAGATAAACATCTGAAGATTTCAAAACAAATCATATAATACTGATATAGCTCTACAGAGTGTATATATGCTGGAGTAATATAAATTCCTCAGCAGACTATGTTTTTACAGTTCTTTCACCTGGAAACAAGTAGAATTATTAGTAGAAATAAAATATAGGGATATAGGAAATACAAGAGAACAAAAGGAGATTTCTCTCCTATGTTTCTGATTTTACTAAAAGGTAGTTGGTAGAAACTAGTTTTTAAGGCAAATTACTGTTCGATTAATAAGCGGGAATAATGTTTCATCATAAAACTTTGTCCATATTGACTAAGTCTACTGTTCTACTTGTTACAAATACATAGAATTAAACACCAAAGATATTAACTATTCCAAAAAAGAAGGATAGCTTAATAAAACAAAAAGATTCAGTCCTATCTATGGCAATGATATGTAGATTGAAAGATAAATAAAGGATCCTCCAGCAAAAACCAACATTTGATTTAACAATCTGGAAAGTGCCTATTTAGTAAGCCTATTTCAATTAATGATCTAGAAAGCAGCATTTCTGACCTGATCAGGAAATGTTGTTTCCCTCAATTCCAGATCTTCTTCAGCATATGTCAATATAGTCTTTAGAGAACGTCTCAAGAATTCTTCATTAAAATTTTGAGATGTGCCCACCAAGGAGGATAGTGACATTGTTACCTGCATCTTAACTCTGGCAAAGTTCTGTAACAGAGATATTGTCAGGTCAATATTTAATACAGGAAAGCTTTAAGGAAAAACTCTGCTTTTTTTTCTTGCTAAAAGAAAAGAATACTTACTGAGAAAATACCATTCTAAGCAAAATTTTTTTCAAAAAAGTAATGAAATATACATATTGAAATCTTATTTTAGAAAGCACATAAAACTTAGAATTTTGCTGTGAATAACATGCTTCAAAAAGGATTAAAAACCCATGTGTTAGAACTGCATTAGAAATTGTCAGAGCTGGGTGTGGTGGCTCATGTCTGTAATCCCAGAGACTTGGGAGGCTTAGGCAGGACGAATGCTTGAGGCCAGGAGTTTGAGACAAACCTGGGCAACATGCTGAAACCTCATTTTTAAAAAAAAATATAATAATAAGAAGAAAAATTAGCCAGGCATGGTGGCACGCACCTATACTCAGGAGGCTGAGGCAGGAGGATCACTTGAACCCAGGAGCCGGAGGTTGAAGTGAGCTATTAATATGATCATGCCACTACACTCTACACTCCAGCCTGGGCAATAGAGTGAGACCCCGTCTCAAAAAAAAAAAAGTGCCTAGGTCTTTATATTTATCTATTATGAGGTATATGTTATTAATAATATCATTTTACAGATGAAGTTAAAGAGTTTGACTAACATTACAAAATTCTTAAATGGTAGATGTAATATTTAAACTCTAGTCTATTTCATTACATCTATACTATGATGAAAGGCATTCAACATTTATCATGTGTTTTAGAGTAACGCCTTTAAGAGTTTATAATTTACATTCTTCCTTTTAGTATAAATTAATTTCTGCTCCACCATTCCCCACTATGAAACCACTCTTAATATTTTACTTGATATCTTTGTATATTTAAAATTTATTGATTACTTTCTCCCTGAAAATATCCTGCCTCATCTTCAGTGGCACCACTTTATCCTGGTTTTCCTATTATTTATCCACTACTTTTCTGTCTTCTTTATTCCTTGGTTGCCGTTAAATATCAGTATTCCCAAAGATTCAGTCAAAAATCTTCATTTTTCACTTGACATACTCTAAAGAGCTACATCCACACCTTTGCCTTCAACTAATATATATAGATGTTTTTCTTTAGCTCATATTTCTCTCCAGAACTCCAAACAATTTTATTTTACTGAATAGCTCCAGCTGAATGTCTCATGGACATCTCAAAGTCAACATGTCTAAAATACCTTCTCTTCCTACTGATTATCTAAATAAGTGGTGCTACCATTTTTGTAGTCACTCAGGTAAAAAAATTTAGGGGTCACTCTCATTCTCCCCTCTCATTATTCATACCATAAATCCAATCCACACCATGCCCTAACCTGTTCCAATCTGTCCTTTCTTTATTCCCCATGCCACTGCTTTAGTTTATACCCTCACCATTTCTTACTTGGATTACTGTAATAACTTCCTAATCAATTTCCATGCCTTTTTCTCTTATCTACCACCCCTACCTATCTTCTACATAGTACCAGGGAAATTTTTATAAAATGCAAATTTGAACGTATCACTCCTTTCTTTAAAATACTCCAGTAACTCCCCGTAGCTTTGAGGATAAAACTCAAGCATTCAGCTCAGTAAATATGTCAAACTATATATAATAGTAGGCACTGCGAGTACAGTAATAAAGCATCTGCCTATGACAGCTTACTGGAGACCTTTTCATTTACAACTTTATCCCTTACTGCTCTCTCTTCCAGCCATACCCACCAGTAAGTGCTAACAAAGTGCTGCTGTGTTGCCTGTTTCCTTCTCTTATCTCCATGCCCTTCTAATTATACATGTCCCATTGTCTTTAGCTAAAAAGCTCTATCCATGTATCCCATCTGATTGGGTAATTCTTTAGGTCAAACATCCCTTCTTTCTGAAAATTTATCCCTGAACCATAAGCTATTTCTCTATGTACTTACCTCTACATATTCGGTACTAGATAAGTACCCTGTGCTTATCTCTCAGTATATAGTAACAACAGCAAGCACTTCCTCAGCACTTGCTAAGTGACATTTACTACTCTAAGCATTTTACTTAACTTATGAAATTCTCACAGAATGATCTGAAATAGGTTCATCCATTATTAGATGAATATTACTCGCTTGTATCCTCTCTGACTAGATGCCGGGTTGCCTAATGCCTACCACAGTACCTAGGACACTGTTCAATACATTATTGTATTGTACAATGTATAGGTATGATATTGTACCTGTTAAATACACAAACCATATATATCACTGCCAGTTTAAAATTACCTATTCTTTTTTAGAGGCACTGATACTAATTTTATATTATTTGTAGTATTATTTTTAAGAGAAGGAGTTAGATATGTTGTCCAGGCCAGATGTGAACTTCTGGGCTCAAGCAATCCTCCTGCCTCTCAGCCTCCTGAGTAGCTAGGAATACAGGCACATGCCACTGCACCCTGCTACTAATATTATAAATTGCCTTTTCTTCTCTATTATATAAAGCTTTTCTGAAATACCAGAAAAATGTATCAAGAAAATTGAGTGTGGTCAAATTTTAGAAACTTTATTTCAAAATTGAACAAGATCAATAAAGTAACTAGATCCTTCTCTTCTGGACTAAGAAAGAGGCTTCCAGTAAAAACAAGACCATGTGAGACAATAATTTCCCACTTCTCCTGAATTTTATGAAAAATAAAGGGAAATCCTAAAACAAAAAGGAAAAAAACCCATAAACTCTATCTTCACCAAAGTGAGGAGACATACACAATCCATATATTAGAAAAATGCATAAGGATTGTCAAGATAAGCTAAGATAGGAAGTAGTTTCAATATAAGGCAAGGAAGGGAAAGCAAATGGTGAGGAATCCTAGGGCACAGATTTCAGAACTAATGGAAAAAAAGAAATTCCTTTAAATAAGAAACTCAACCTTAAAGTGATAAAACTATTTGTCTCGAAAATAAAACGGGTTAAAAATCTGGTAAAACTAGACAGAAATGGGTCAACGAGAAAGTTCAGACACTTAGGCAAGATGTGTGTGAAATAGCAAAATCCCAGCAAAAACATATTCCTGAAGGAACTTCCTACAAATATCTGGGCTAAGATAATCCAACCTTTTCTACGTTGAGTAATAAAAAGGTAAGGAAGATCAGCAAAGAATAAAGAATACTTAATAGAAAAATGTCATGAAACATGAAAATTCTAATGAAAAAAAAATTTTTTTTTTTTTTGAGACAGAGTCTGGCTCTGTTGCCTGCGCTAGAGTGCCCTGTCATCAGCCTGGCTCACAGCAACCTCAAACTCCTGGGCTCCAGCAATCCTCCTGCCTCAGCCTCCTGAGTAGCTGGGACTACAGGTGCTCACCACCATGCCTGCCTAATTTTTCTATTTTTACTAGAGACAGGGTCTTACTCTTGCTCACGCTGGTCTCGAACTCCTGACCTCAAGTGATCCTACCACCTCGGCCTCCCAGAGTGCTAGGATTACAGGTGTGAGCCACAGCACCCGCCCTCAAATGAAATATTTTGACTTAACTTATAAAAATTTATGAAGACATTACCTTTAGGAAGAAAAACAAGACAGAAATACAAGAACTCAATGAAAAGGTGGCAAGAATCAGAAAGCAATAACATAAAATAGGAGATTACGTGTAAATTGACACAAGAAATTTTTTACTTTAAAAAGAAATAGAAAAACCCCAGAAATTAAGATGAAATTTTAAAAGTGTTAAAAAGGAAAAAAGAAAATGATAGGTAAAAAGTAAAGTAAAAAAGATCCAACATATATGCAATGATAACTGGTAAAGAAACCCCAAAGACTGGAAAAGACAAATATTTTATACGCAAAAAAACTTTCTGAAATAAATGAACTGAAAGTATACATCACGCACCTGAGAAAATTAACAAAAATTAGTCAATACCAACATATACCCCAGGAAAGATATTTAATTTTTAATATAAAGAAAGAATTTCATAAACAGCTGGGGAAGAAACATCATTTTTTTATCTTCAGATATTTCTACAATGACTTTTCTTTTTTTTTCTTTTTTTTTGAGACAGGGTCTTGCTCTGTTGCCCAGGCTGGAGTGCAGTGGCATGATCATAGCTCACTGAAGCCTTGAACTACTGAGCTGAAGTGATCCTTCTGCCTTCTCCTCCAGAGTAGCTGGGACTACAGGTGAACACCACCATGCCCAGCTAAGTTTTTTATTTTTTGCAGAAATGAGATCTATGTTGCCCAGGATGGTCTCAAACTCCTGGCCTCGAGCAATCCTCTCACCTCAGCCTCGCAAAATGCTGGGACTACCGGTGTGAGCCACTGCCACCAGCCTTATAACAACATTTAATGCCAGAAGATAATCATACTCAATTATCCTTCTCCCCCCTATTAAGTGCTCTTTATCTGAAAAATTTTGCTGATCTTTCTTACACTTTTTATTATTCAAAGTCTGAGGCAAAAATTTCACAACCATTTCTGCTGTCCTACGAGTATAGACTACTTTGAACAAACAAGAATTTGAGGATATCATTCCCACGAACCTTCATAAGGACAATATTTAGCTGAATAAGAGATGATTAAAGCAAAAAAACTGGTAGTAAGCAATATTTCACTTTACAACTAAGAACTAAGACTAAAATGTTACAGCTAAGAAAAAACTGGGACAGTGAGAAGGAGGATGGAAAGAAGTACTTCGATCATCGTATCTGCAATAGATATAAATCAAACAACAATATTTGAAGCTGACAAATCAAGTGAGTATACGCAGATTCAGCAATACAAATGTAATCAGTCAGAAAGATTCTTTACTGGCTACGAAATGAATTGCCAAAAAAAAAAAAAAAAAGAAAAAGAAAAAGAAGAAAGATACTTTATTGAAATATTGAGGTAGGAAGAAGAATGACAGAAGGTAAAATAGAAAAAAGAAAATCAGCAATTTTAACACTGTTCATTATAGGGAGTTAATAGATACTGTCTCAAGCAGTGTTTCTCAACATTTTTTTCATTATTGTTCCCCTAA